AGAGAGAGAGAGACAGAGAGAGAGAGAGACAGAGAGAGAGAGAGACAGAGAGAGAGAGAGAGAGAGAGAGAAGAGTGACACTGGGCCTGACATGGGTTTTTGAAACTTCAAACCCTGTGACACACCTACTCCAACATGGCCATGCCTCCTAGTCAGCTGGGGACTGAGCATGCAAATATATGACCCTATGGAGGACATCTTCACTCAAACCACCACAGTATTTTAAAAATTATCATAGTGCTATAGATGGGATTTCTAAATTTACTTTTGATATTTTAATTATTTTGAAATAACTGCATTTTCAATGCTACTGTCTTTAACTGTTCATAATATACTCCACTGAGAAACATTTAAGTGTTCATAATACATCCCAGTGAACAACATTTAAAATTACTGATCTTTCAAAAATATTTTTCATGATTGCCATTGTTCTTTATTACAGTGTAAGCCCTCTAATAAGCATATAGCCTCTTCATCCACTAGATGGGCAAATAGAATTGAATTGTTTGTGATAGTGATGCTTTTTTTTCTGACATTTGTCCAATTGAGGTTTCCACTTCAGATTGAATATTGTTCTCTGGACATAAATTGAACACTCAACAATACCAACATGCACCTGAGCAAGTGTCCTGGATGAGGCTGAATATCAGGAGCATTGATGGTAACTGATAGCTCCAGGGATGGGAAGAAGGGCTATGAAACGGCTAATGCCTTTGTGGAGAGCATCCCATCTGCAACCACATGGACAAGGTGTTCTCTTAAGAGAAAGAGGGGTAGTCACCCTATAAGGAATTTGTATTTTGAAAATTGCCATGCATTCCCCCCCTCCTTTGTTATCTGAAGTAAGTAACAAGTAACTACCTTAAAAATGCCCCTGTCTGTTTGAAGGCAAAGTAATAGCTGGTTCTACTTTCAAGGCCCCTTCCTATGTGGTTTCTATGCTGCTGCTCAATGGAAGTTAATGTGTCTTAAGACAGAAGGGGATAACAGTACGTGCTTCATGAGATGAATGTAATGGTATTTCTTTTCTCTGGTTACATCTTTATCTGGAAGACTCTGTTCTGCTCCTTGGGTTTTTCTTTGACACCTAGCTTAGAAGTCACCATTTTAAAGAAGCCATGATGGCTTTTCATACTCAGCCACTCTATTCTCTCACTCACCCATTGCTTCTACCAGCAACCACATAAGCACAATAACTGAATGATTGCACTTAATCATGAAACACAGCTAGAGAGGCTTCTGTTCGAGAAATACAGAAATGTATTTCAGAGAACTAGAGAAACTGCTCAGTCACATACTTAGTAGTCTTCTTAAGTCTCATATTACCAGTTTGTGTTATATATTAACTCCTGATTATTATTGTTCATCTGTAATTTTATTATTATTATTATTATTATTATTATTATTATTATTATTAGTATTATTATTAGTCAAAGACTCCACCAAACTACCTTGGAATTTTCCTTGATGAAACTCTTTTTTTTTTTTTTTTTTTTTTTTTTGTGGCGAAGACTGAACCTAGGGCTTCATGCATGTGAAGCAAATGTTCTACCACTGAAATATATTTGTAGTCCTTATTTTTTCATGTTGTTGTTCTTTATTTTAGAGACAGGATCTCACTAAGTTGCTCGGGCTGGCCATAGGCTAATTCTGGGCCCAGGCAGGCCATGTGCTTGTGATCATTCTGTCTCAGGCTTCCGAGTAGCTGGGAGCACAGGCCTTCATCACCAGGCTGGGCTTTAAATGAGGACATTGAAGCATGAAAAATAGTTGTTGTGTTATAAAGACCAAGATATCATATTCACTCTCATTCAATTCAAATATGTAGACATGGTCAGATACTTTGTCATGTAGGAAATGCTGTAGATATATAATTTTAAAAAGTGACTCAAGCTTGAATATTTATGAGGAGGGATCAAAATTGTGTAGACTTTTGATAATTATGAGGAATACTTCTCGGGATCTATACAATTTTTTATTTTTATTTATTTATTTATTTATTTATTTATTTATTTATTTATTTATTTATTTATTTATTTATATTCATTCACTTATTCATTCATTCATTTGTGTTTATTTATTTATTTATTGGTTTTTCGAGACAGGGTTTCTCTGTGTAGCTTTGCGTCTTTCCTGAAACTCACTCTGTAGCCCAGGTTGGCCTCGAACTCACAGAGGTCCACCTGCCTCTGCCTCCCAAGTGCTAGGATTAAAGGCATGTGCCACCACTGCCTGGCTATACAATTTTTTAAATTCATGAATTCTATCATTTCCTTAAGCCTCTCATTTTCTCTTTTTTATTAAAAATTATTTATCCTAATTTTATATACTACAATTACATCATTTTTCCTTCCCTTTCTTCATTCTAAAACTTCCTATATACCCTTCTTTGCTCTCTTTCAATTCATGGCCTTGATTTTTTTATTAGTAGTTGTCACATACATGTATGTATATGTATATACATATATATTTCTAAATACATATGTAACTTGATTAGTATGTTACTTCTATGTTATTTTCAGGGCTGGCCATTTAGTGTTGGATAACCAACTGATATGCTCTTCCCTGGTGTGGCAGTTTGGATGTAATTGGCTTCCATAAGCTCATAGGAAGTGGTAATATTAGGAGGTGTGGCTTTGTTGGAGTAGATGTGACCTTGTTGAAGGGAGTGTGTCACTGTGGGGGGGGGGATTTGAGGTTTCCTATGCTCAAGATATTGCCCAGTGTCACAGATCATTTCCTGTTGCCTTCTGATCAAGATGTAGCCAGCACCACACCTGCACACCTCCGTGCTCCTGCCATGATGATAATAAAATAAACCTCTGAAAATGTAAGCTGCCACCTCAATTAAATGTTTTCTTTTATAAGAGTTGCCATGATCATGGTGTCTCTTCACAGCAATAGAAACCCTAAGATACCTGGAGAAGACTATTTCTCCTGCTTTCGACGTTTCTTAGTGGTTTGTAGTTCTTTGTGTAGGTCTCTTGGGCTTTTCCCCATCCACTTTAGCACGTCTATTATTCTTATTCCACTCACATTTAGGTGGTCATGTTGGTGAGACTGTATGGGTCTAGCTTCTGACATTTCTAGGAGACATAATCTCACAGCAAACTCCTGTTCCTCTGGCTCTTACAATCTTTCTGCCCCTACTCCCCCTTCCCTGAAATGTTCCCTGAGCCTTATCTGCAGGAATCATTTTGAAGATGTAGTCACTAGGACTGGGCTCCACAACTCTGCTTTTAATTCATATGGTTTCCTATAATGGTCTTCATCTGTCGCAAAGGGAAGTTTCCCCATTGAGGGGTATAATGACAAATATTTGACTTGTAGCTAGGGATTATGCTGGCTTACTAAATGGTGATTGTGGTTTCTCCTCCAAGACCCATGACTTCATTAGCCTTGGGTAGCTGGATAGATTTCTAGTACCTGGCATGATTGCTCTCTTGTTTAGTTGTTCTTAAGTCCAATTAGAGATTGGTTGGTTATCTACAAGGTATGCAGGGCAATATTTCACCTTCAGGGCTATTGTGCAATAGCCTGTAAAGTTTTGGGAGTTTCTTGGACAACCATGACCAGCAACTCAAAATAGGGCTTCTAATGCCAGGCATTGGGGATTTTGTTAGATGGTCTTTGGTTGTTGTTGGGAGAATTGTCAGCTCAGGTGATAAAATTGCATTTAAACTATGTGTGTCTACTTATACACAGACTTACATGTATTATAGTGCTTTTACGTAGCTAAATAATAATATATTTCCTAATGACTTTCTTAGATACCCTTGTTATTTTACCCCCTCTCTCCCTCTTCTGTATTCATGGCCCTCTTTCTCCTCATTAGTCTCTCTGTCTTTCCCACTTTG